TGGACTTGCGCTGCTGCGCAGTCTTCTGCTCGTCCAAGCCAGCCAAAAATGCTGCACCACGCATTGAGTTGGTCGGCCCCGAGGCGAATGTGCGGATGGGCAGACGCGCGGCAGAGGCAGCCGTGGTCAGCGTACCGTCATTCTGCGTCAGGAACAAGGGACAAGAAAGTTTGAGGGCATGCATGGCGCTCTGAAAGCCGCGAATCGTGCGCTGTGCGAATGTGAGGATGGACGCGTTGAGGATTGAGGCGTTCTCGCGCTCGAGAAATCCGACCTGGCCGACTGCATGATCATGTGAGCAAATCTGGGGCAGTATGCAGTAAATCATGAAAGAGAGGCACCATCTTGGGAGCATACGATGTTCACGGATGGGCCTAATTCTCGCTCAACAAGCTTCGCTGCGGCAAGTTCTTGCTTTCCACCGGCTTCAAGAGGGGAGTAGATGCCGCACAAAACCACCTGATATTAAGTTAGCATTGAGCAATTAGACGGGCATAATCTCGTGCACATTTTGAATCCCTTTCCCTTTGATTTGCGCACATTGTTCGATTATCTGCGCCTCGTCGAGAGGAAAGATTTCCCTGCCATCGACTAGAGTAAAATTAGCAAGGGAAGCACACATCCGAATTCCAGCACGAACTTTCGGAACCGCCATCAACGTATCCAACATGCCCCTCGGTTAAAGCGCGCAATCGGGGCGGGAAGTCGATAAAGGGCGGACACTGCTTCGTATAGGGCCCACACAATCGGATGACTGCGACTCTTGCCAGCCGGCGTGCGTCCGCCTCCAGAACAGCGTTGATGAATGCGGTGGTGCCGATGCTAAGACAGGAGACGTTCTCTGGAGGCACTGCCGCAAGGGTGAGCACCTCTCGCACCGCTGCTTCGATCCCCACCGAGACATCCGGAGTAGTAGGCGATTTGTGGTGCGCAAGCACGCCGCGAGACGGCTCGTGAAGGCGGGTCACATCAATCAGCACCCCGTCTGTGTTTGTGCCTGCGGAGATGGAGGATTGAGTCAACCATGTCGCTTCTGTGCTTCCAAGCAGAACAAAACGCAGGACTCTGAGCACCGCACATCCCTCAACATGCCTTGCCCCCGCGCCAGGCTCGCCCTCCCCAACCACGGTGCACTGACTGGCGAAACCACCACAAAAGAGCCACGTACCTCCAACGTCTACACCGATGCGCAACATTCTGCCAAGCCGTTCGTCTGCAGTATTGCGGGGCGTCCTGGGTGCTCGCTCTCCCTTGGGAACAAGCAGCAGAAGATAGCTGGCTTCTTATCATGATTTGAAGGGTGGACTATCGAGCAGCTCAGGAGTCATGGGGAGATAAGTGGCATACAGATCTGTTTCGCCTTTGCTGATATGCATGGTGGCACAGGCAAAGCGTTCGCCCTCAATGCGTATCGTGCACTCGTGCCCTAACGGTAGACTTGTCTGGCATCGGCTTCATCGGCCAATCTCGACGGAGGGGCCGACTTGCTCTGAGACAAGGTATTCGTAATGCTAAGCTTGTTGCATGACACGGGCGAACGCTGCGAGACTCGAGCTTAGGCTGTCAGTGCAGTCAGACGATGTTGACAGTGCTGTCCTTGCATATATACAGTGGCTCGGATATAAGAATCGTAGACAGTCCTTCCCCGCAGGGCAAACGCGAAACAACGTAAATTACAAATGTTATAACACAGGCGATATTATGATAATTTACAGCACTTACAAAGCTGAAAATAACAGCTATTAAACCTCATCTAACCAAGACGCAACATTACTCATACACGAGATCCTCTCGCATTAGATGGGAGTAGCCGCAGAGAAGGGCACTGAGCAAGTGTAAGATAGCCAAGCAGCAAAATGCGCTTGAGTAAGAATAGATTGTCCGCACCCACCCACGCTCATGATCCTCAGAACTTCTTCGGCGCAAAGCCCTTGCCTGCTTCCCACAGGGCTTGTTCGACGATCTTCATACCCGCAAGGACCTTCTCCTCCTCCAGCCGCTGCCCAACCACTTGCACAGCCATCGGCAGCCCGTGCATCGCGCTGGAATCGTACACCGAATACGCCCCCCTCGCAATGTCGTTGAAGTTCGCAAACTCCTTGCTCTGCACAAAGTCCTCAGGCAGACAATCCATAAGCTCGTCCACGTATGTTACAGGGAGGACACCAGCGGCGTAGTCAAGCTTAGTAATAGCGCATCAGCACAACCATCTTCAACGAGCCGCAGTCGCCCACGCTGCAAAAGAAGCTGTGACTCACGATATTGAAGATGAACGTATATCCCGATGAAACTAAAGACACGGTGCCAGTTTCGCCTCGCGGGATGGGTGGCAGCGAGTGTGGGATCGTGAGTACAAAGTCTATTCCTTGTGCCTGCCACTCGGTGTGCCAAGCGGCCCGGTACGCTTCCCGCTCGACAATCGTCCTGCGCTCGTCGGCCGGCGTCATCTCGTGGAACGTCTCAAGTAGAGCTGCCCATGCGTCATTTCTCCCGGTGGGGCGCGAGAGCGAGCGGAGCAGCAGCGCCAGCGCCTTCTTAACGAACAAGGGGAGCTGCAGCAGCCGAGTGGCGTTGAGCAGTCCGCCGTTGAGGGTCTCGCCCTTCCGCATCGGCGCCAGGAGCGTTTCCCCTGTCTTCATTTAAGCGAATCTTCGCAGCACGCGACAGATCGGCCACCCACCTCCGTCCGAGAAGAGAAGCTTGTAGCCGATCTTGAGGCCTTCGACGATGTTTGGTGAATGACTGTTGATTGCAAAGACCCTGAGCGACAGACCAAGCTGACACTGCGAATGACAGCACTCACAAGTCCACAACTTCGTGCCCCGCTCGCCGCAGAGCGTCTACGCTCTCATTCAGCGCGCGCAGGGCGGCAGGGGATGGGGGGATAACACCTGGTTATTCGCATTAGTCGCCACGCGTCTTCAAATGTCAATCAGGGACGAAGACCCCGCACCATCGGACCAAACGATGCCCCACTTCGGCTTCCGTCCGCTCAACACAAAGTCCACAGGCCGCCACGGCAGCGGAGAGCACTGTGGACGTAAGCCTAAAGCTCGCAAAGGCGAAAATGGCACGCACGGTATGGTCATAGAGCCAAGGTCGCATATCCACAACTCGCTTCCAAAACTCCGCTAGGTCGTCTAACGTCCGTGCCATCGGGCCCACTATCGTTGGTACACCCTCCAGCCCAGGCAATGGAGACTCGCACGCATACGAGGGGAACCGACCCACGGAGCCCTTCATGCCATACACCCCGCAGTACGCTGCGGGATAGCGGAGGCTGCCAGCAATATCGCTCCCAATTTCAATGAGAGTGCCCTGATACGCCAGCAACGCTCCTCCACCGCCAGTCGACGCCCCAGGTGAGAACGCGGGGTTGTAAGGGTTTGATGTCTCTCCGAACAAGTCAGATAGCGTCTCAAGGGAGAAAAACCCGGTAGGCAGCGTTGTCTTGACGTGCATCTGAGCACCGGCGTCACGAAGGAGACGCACGATTGGAGCTGACGAGGCCCTAGGGTGTCCCACGTTGCCAGAACATGCACAGGTGGTGTCATACCCCTCCACGTCTATGCAGTCCTTCAGACTCACAACAACCCCAGTCAGAGGCCGCTGCAGTGGGACAGAGCGCTTCTCGACCTCGGAAATCATGAAGTCTGCGAGGCAGTTTGTGGCATCCTGGGCCAGCAGGGATCGTTTGGTGTAAGTTTGTAGGACTGCCGAGGGAGCAATGGCGGTGGCATTGCACTCGTCCACCACCTGAGATAAGGAGAGGCCGAGAATCTTCTGGTCGTCGTCTGTGAGAGGCTGGGAGTAGACAGTCGGAAGGAGCTGGCGTTTGGTCCGTAACTCCTGCTGCTTCCGAGCACTGGTGGTCTGGTTGGTCACGAGGTGCGCCACATAGGAAAGGACTCACCAGTCTCTACGGTGCTGCGAGGAGGCGAACATGGGGACCAGCATGGCGAAATACAGAAGCTATCGGGAATAAAAGGGGTTGTGGATGTGGATGACAGGCATCAGAGAGGTCGCAAGGCCTAGTGTATATAAGTTTAGCAGGAGAGCGTACGCCGCAAGGCTCGAAACGGTCGGTGGCGATTGACGCCTGCAAGTCAATCGCGGCGGCTAGCCGCAGTTAACTATCGAGATGGCCCTGTTCGTTACGTACAGCCTGACTACCCAGGCAAGCCATCCGGGCCACGCACGGAACGCGGCGGTGCGCATCGTCCTGCGATATCTGGCAGCGGGCAGTGGAGAGACACAAAGGCCACCCATCGGCTACTCAGCCTCCCGTGCTGACACAGATGGAGAGAAATCAGGGACCACAAGCTGTCTAACCCTGATTGTAGAATCAATAACACTGAGAGAAAACCACCGGAAGACATCATGCGCACATGAGAGGCTGACCAACTCAATTGAGTTCGTTCATGATGCCGACTCCTCCCTTAGCAGCCCACCAATTGTTCCAAGTACAGCACAGCTTGCGGAGAGCGGCACTGAGGCGATTCGGGTCCCGTGTCTGTGAGCGAGTCTCGAAAAGAGCGGACGGACCGCGAGCAGACTCTCGTGATCCCGCCTAACAGTGGACTCCGCCGTGTGTTATCAGGCAGCAAGCAGGGAAGCCAAGACGGTGGGAGAAGCGCAGGTAAAAGAAATCAGACGGACAGAACAGGGTGATCCCTGCCGGCCTCAATCCCAGAACGCAAAGGGCGGAATCCGACTCTGCCGAGCTTGCAATGGACAAACAACCCAAAATAACGCGCATGTCGCGTCGCGTCCCAGGTCACGCTCTTCCGCTCTCACCGCAACATAGACAACCATGCTACAAGCCCCAATTTTGCTCTCATCTCCCAGCACTCCCTCCAGGTCTCCTCGCTTCCATAACGTTTCCTGGAGCAACCCGCCACACAACTCCTCTCCTCTCGCATGCGACACCTCCTCGCCCGTGTCCTCTCCAGGAGCCGACGCGTTCGCCCGCCGTCGTGGCCAATACAAGCAACACACAGCCAGCTCTCCTACGGCAACGCGCTTAGGAAAGCCTCCCAAGCGCAGAGTCACTTTGGGTGGCGAGCTCCCGTCCAGCTCACGCGGAATCTCCCAGGCCGCTGCTGTTCCGACGGAGGAGGCGCCACGCAAGGCCTTTCTCCGAGAGAGGTTCAGAGCACGGTGCTTGGAGCGCTCGCAGAAAGATCGCGAGCGGAAGATCAAGGGCAGACGATGTGCGCAGAGCGACACGAGCAGTGACGGTGACGACGAGGTCATGGACAATGAAGAAGAGGATGACGAGGAATTTATTAACGACGAGGTGCGTCTTTTTTGTCACGATCAGAATCAGATGCGGCGTGAACACGCCCCCGCCCAGCTTTTCCGGCGCCTCATTTCAAGCGGGAAGCGCAAGCAGCAGCATGAATACCGACTTTCGTATGCGTTCGAGGTTGGTTCTTCGTTCGATCCGGACATGGAAGACATGGACGAGTGGGAGCGGCATATCCAGCGTGAGTCCATCATCTGGCGGATTGAGATGCCCCGCATTTAGCCTTTGCTCGCTTCCCTGCGGTAGCTCATGAGCCAATAAGCACTATCCCCGAAGACCTTGATGAAGAGGAGCTCGCCGCGTACGCCGAAGAGTATGATCTCCATCTGGAAGACCTGTGCCCAGAGGACGTTTTCAGTCTCAGCGACGTGGATGACATAACCTTGCCCGACGAAGATATGCAATTGCGAGGAAAGGGAAAAGAGAGGGCGATCGTCGCAATGGCCGACGACGACGTCGACATGGCCATGCCATGAATGGTTGCGTGCGGTAAGGTTTGAATAGATGTATTGTGTCATAATGTGTAGTTTTTAGCAGACTCGGGTGCTGACAGACTAGTAGGCTGTTCCATTCAGAAATGTGCGGCAATACTTGAGATAATTATGCTCCGCGTTGGCGTCAGAGTCTTGGCGCTCTAGATATCCGATTGCGAAGCCTAGTACAAGAGCGAAGGCAGGAGCTCTAGTGCGACCACGCTGGTGACTGCCGGATGGTCTGGAATATCTCCATAAACGCACCCGGCCAATGTTCACCTTGGCCAGATCTGATCCTGGCGAGTCTGCTGTCCATGTGCATGGATCCGTATCTGCTGGTTCTCGAAACCCAGTTTCCACCGCTCCGGGCGGCTCGTCCCCGTTGAACTGCACGCGGTCCTCTCGCATTCTACAATCCTCGTAAGTGTTTCCCCGAGTACTCATGGAAGCCCGGCCAGGCTTCAACGGAGCCTGGCCGGTCTCTTCGCATCTCGCTCTGAGCGATGGAGGCCCAGCGCCGGTCGGAAGCGAGTATGAGAGGGATCGCCCCATGACTAGCAACGTTCTTGCACCCGCGCTGCTTCTGGCTTGAGTACGTCGTGGCGCGAGGCGTCGAACAGTGTCTGGTGACGCCCCCCGCAGGGAAGGTGGCTCGCCTACCTGGGTGTCGTCCGGATAGTGGCCAGCGCATGAGCCCATCCAGCGTCCACGTCTCTGCTGGCGCAGAGCCTGAATGACGGAGAGCCCGGCAATCATCTGTGGGTATGCCGTCAGCTTCGAGGAGAGCTGGCACTGTGCGGAGAGAACTTGAGTCTTGGGCCGGGTCCGAGTCGGTGTTCAAGGCGAATTCGAGTACGTCCTCGTGTCATCGTTTGAAAAATTCTGAGGTATCGTCCGTGTTCGGCCACTCCAACTAGGTGCGAAGACGACTAGGGATAAGGACCACGCCCAGTTCTGCAAATACGAGTACCACCAGGCGTCCTTCCAGTAACTGCTCGCAGCGTCACGGTAAGTGTTGTCGTCGTCTGCTATCTGACCGACGCTTCGTTTGGATCGATGTCCTTCGCTTTGATCACCGTCTGCTTCCACATTCTGTCCCACAAGACCGTGAGTCTTTCCTCACCGAGACAATCGTGGCATCACGCCAATTCACATCTGCCCGAGGTTCTGATAGTCCTTGTACGTCTCAGAAGCACATGTACAAGATTAACCAGGAATGCACCGGGGGAGCTGCTAACACGTAAGACCGCCCACCAGCTCCCTCCGCTCCTTGGATATTATGCTACTTCCACGAGTATTGGTCTCGATGAAGGCTAAAGCACTGGGAAAACGTGAATCCGCATCAAGTTCATCAGGTCTGCATGTGGGATTTTCAGCGAATTCATGATCTAGTTGTAGCGAACGATTGATACTAAACGATTTTCACAGGAGACAGATAATTTGGATTTTCGAATTTAGCGGACGAGACCAAGCGTTTCCTGACTCGATAGGCAGGTGGGGCTGCCTCAAATACACCTTCGTGGCCGTTGAACATCACTGCCTGGTATCCCAGGACGTTCGAGTCTAACTGACACCTGTGAGGACAAAGCCTATCAATGATGGATTTCTGACGCTCCAGTTCCGAATACACGGCGCACAGTCTTCCCTGCAGATGCATGTCATATTCAAGGGTCTCTGGCAAGATCTGCGACATCCAACTTGCCGCTTGCCACACCAATATGGCGCTCCGCACAGGCGATCAGGTCTTTATTGACATCGCTCACTTTCCCGCCGTCCGCGAGACCAGGGTGGCCCTGTGCGCGCAGATACTCGTTCGCAAGAAAGAAGGCTGTGTGTGTGGAGGGGGTGGGGGCAGCAGTCAGCGTTCTGGACAGCTCGAACAGCGCGCGAGCAGACCGGTGCGTTTGTTCCCATCCAGGAACGGGTGTCCTGTGTCTTCGTGAGACGCGCTCCCGACGCAGGATAAAAAGGGGGCAGCCCCACCTTTGATTATGCCGTACGACAGACTGGCAGCGAGGAACGACGGGGACTTATCGGGCTCGTATAGCGCGACGTTCAGTGGCCGCGCCAACGCAGACCGGAGCTCGTTGGGCTTGACCACCTGGGACTGCGCTGGATGGACGAGCTGTGCGTTGATGAGCTTGGCGTACGTTGGGGTAAATAACCGAGAAAGTCGAAGCGCTGCAATAGACATCACGGCGGCCGTCTGCCAAACTCAGACTTGGATTTGGGTCAGCGACATGGGCAGTAACAGCACGGGACTCGGATATGAACACTGTAGCCTGTGCGCGGTGACTATTTACATTGACTTACTGGTGCTGCAGATGTGCAGGATATCTACGACAACGTTCAACTGTTGAAGGTGGGTATTGCCAGAGTCTGACTCTCATCCCGGCGGCTATTTGAAGGAGACGGGCGCTTGTGACGGTGGCTGGTGCTGAGATTTCAACGGCGCTCAGTACTTGAAGCGCAACTTCTTTCTGTTCACTCTGCGGTAGGTCGCATCTGCGGACTCTCTGATAATTCTTGCATGATAATATACCCAGTTGGTGTCCAACCCATTGGCACGATGTCGACAGTCATCCTGATGCTCTCGCGCCGTTTGGCCATGTGGCCCGAGATTCGACGTCCACATGCGCCCCCAAGCGTATTCGGCCGCACCATACCGCCCGCGCGCACCGTCTCCAACACCGCCAACGCCTTCCTGCCAGAACCCAAAGAGTTCAAGGTCCTGCTCGACAACCAGACCCTGTACATCACCGAAGACCTCGCCACGGCGCTGGGCTGGACGCCCGCGGGCAGCGCCGCGAGCACGCAGCTGTCGTTGAGCGGCTGGGCCCCCCACTACTTCGCCATCACACCCGCCGGGACCGCCAGCGGTACGCGCTGCATCCGCACTCTTCCCCGCCGCGGACATATCTGAACGCGCCTCTAGATCGTCTCGCCCGAGCGACGGTGGCGAGCAGCCGCAGCCCTAACGCCAAAGTCGTGCTCGACTACCTGAAGGATCGGTGACCGCTCTCAAGCAAGCAGTGCGCAGAAGTCTCGGAGAGGCGTAGGTGGACGCTGCAACGCGTGGTTCGCCGTTCCTTGCTACTTGAGTTAGGAGGACTCGGGCACGAATGTGACGGATACGGCCGACAGTTCTCGCACCGTCTGGTCCTCCCCGGATCCGCCGGCTGGGAGCTGTCGTTGGCGGAACTGGCGTCATCGCGCTCGGTTGTAGGCGGTCTTTTGAATTTCAACCGAGTTTCCTGTCGCTTGAGCGGCGGCGAGCCGTGTCCACATCCTGACGCGTCTTTCGATTCGAATGCGCAGACTGTAGGCTTTACGAAGGCGATGCGTGGCTGGGAAATGGGGCGCTATCGATATACAGCACTATGAATTATCTCCTACTAGTGTAGCCGGAACACGATATATAATAAGCATTATACAAGTAGTAGTCGCGATGTGTGTCGAATCTTCTAATAACGTTGAGAATACATGGTAAGAACCTAGGCTACAGTGACGGACGTGGCTGCGCAATAAATTGAGGGGTGCCAAGGAACATGATGTTACGCACGGCAACTCAGGCTGCACCCTTTCAGGTTGCGCATCTCCATGGTGACTTCGCTCTCGTTGGTGATCCCGGTTGCCGTCCCTTCGCCTGCGTGGTCGATGTGCGACGTAAATTGGATGGTGTCGTCCACGCCGACCGACAAGGGCAGCTCTATGACAGACCGGTCCGCCGCGAGCCGTCGCAAGTTGAGGAGAACGTGCGCGCCCTAGAGACAAGCGAGCGTGAGCGACAGGGTCTCCTGCGGACAGCGCGGGCGACGAGACGTACGGCAAAGGACATGATAGCCAGCTCCCAACTGCATGGCAGAGGGCGTCAACTTGAACGAGAGCGGGATTCGTAGCAGAGGACGCACCAAAAACACACGCCCGCCAGGGTGCCCTTGACCAGGTGATACACGAGCGTGTTCATCAGCATGATCACTGCAGGGTGCCGTCAGGAGTGGCCAGGGTGTAAAGGCGTGCGGCGAGAGCCTTACCGAACGTCATAGCATATGCCCACGTGCCATCGCGCACGAGGGCAAAGAGCAGTGAATGGCGGCCGAGATATCTGCTCATGCTCGTGAAGAACTTGACCAGGGTCAGGGCGAACAGAATGGTTTCGAACGCGAGCGAGATTATCCTGCGCACCAAGACCGCAATCAGGATTCAAGGCTCAGGAGAAGCGCACGATGCGCACCAGTACGAGGTAAAGATGCCCGGGGTGTCCGTGATGACACACTGCTCGTCGAAGCGCATGCCGGGAATGCTGACGGCAATGACGACGATCATGAGCGTGATTTCAGACATGTACAGGAAAAGGACTGCGGCTATGACCAGCCGGTTGCGGTTGTACAGCGCATAAACTAGTACACGCAGGCAAGGGCGTGAGCTCTGCAGCCTGGATGATCCGCCAGGTGCAACATACGTACTGCGGACGATTAGTACGCCTTCTACGGCGATGGTGAGGGCTTCGTTGAAGGACAGCTGGTACGCGATCCAGGCTCTGCACTGTTCTGGGCGCCATTCAAAGAAGGTGAAGGCAATGATCGATCTGTACGGTGCAGCATGAGCATAGCATTACATGTCAGGACGGGAGAAATGGCACGAGCACTAGTGCGAGATACGGAACGTGTCTGATGAACGCGTACGCCCATGTCACCCACGACCTCGGGCCTCTAAATGCGAAGTCAAAGGTGAGTTCAATCGCGGTCACATTGCCAAGGAACTCCCTGCCAACCTCCAGACGTAGTCTATCTGCTGGCTGCTTCAGCACAACTCGCTGCACGGCCTTCGACACGCACCTCATCTCCAATATTCAGCAGCGTATCGTACGCCAAGAAAGTGACGGCGGACAGAGCGAATTTGAAGGTCACTGGTGGGGCGCAACTCGCGTCAGGGGCGGAAGACAAGGCCGCTGGCAGGATGCACTCACGCTCGAACCCAACTTGGCGATCTCTGTCGACGTCCGGCATCGGTCAGGCGGCACCGGGAGGGCCGCAGGAATGCAGCAGCACCTGTCAGTACTCGCCGCCGGAGCTGGTGCTGGTGTGCTCGACAAGCCAGAGGACAATCCCCCTGTCCCCAAACCCTCCACGTGAAGCAGCCGGGTACTTAGGGGCTCAGCCCAAAGCAAGTAGGTCATGAGTACGTACATGACAGCGCTTCTGTTGCTGGAACGGGTTTCGGTCGTCTCAATGAGGAATTCCTGTCGCGGGTGGCCCGTCGGCTCTGACATTGAGCGCAATGTATCCAGGGAGCTAGGAACACCCGGTGCAAACGGAACGGCAGTGAGGCGCCAAGCCACTCGCATAACATCGTGTGCTCCTCCGAGCCATAAGTAGTAGACATAGAAAGCCGCCTGAAAGGCAGCTGAGCAACACTCTGAGCAGCGTCCAGCTCGTCTGGCACAGTGTGTGGCTTCGAGACGAGGCGGGACTCCATGCGAATCCCAAAGACGCCAGATGTACAACCCCACCAAGCAAGTGAGCATGTTGCCTCCCTCTCAGCTGGAAATTTAAATTAACACCGAGGCAGGATAGAGATAGAGGCCAGAGTGAGAAGTTCAACACCGTCAGATGAGAAAGTTGAGCTGCCAGGTGGTGAGGACCTGACGGATTCACCAAAATGGCAATAGCTAATTTGAAGAGTGTCTCACGTGAGCATGACGCGTCCTGGTAGCGCCAGCCTTCCGAGTCATTCGTCCGGGCGCTGGCATGCATCCACGCACCCCCGTTGCTCATTCCTATCCTACCACAACACACCCGCCGGCGACTCGAATCTCATAGGGATCCAAGCATGTCGCTCACAGTGGCTCAGAATGGACCCGTGGCCTCAAGCTCAAAGATGGTGCAAATCCCAATGAACGGAAAATCGACATCTTTCTTGTAGTCTACGATCAAGGTGCTGACGCCGGCCTCACTGCGTATATAACGCCAAGATGCGGTCAGGCGCTGCACGGTATCCAGCACATAGCCGCGCCTGTCAACAACCCAGCGATCATAACGATGAAAGTCAACTTCCCTCCTCATGCCGGTAAGCGTCCTCGCCCTATCCATGGCTTGTCCTACTCTAAACACTTCGCTTAGGTCTGGAATTTGTAAAGACTGCGCGTCATGATACATACCCTGCGATCGACCCCGCAAAAGCCAACCTCGCCGGACAGGTCGTCCTCGTAACTGGCGCGTCGAGGGGCATTGGAAAGGCCATCGCAATCGCGTTTGCGCAATCTGGCGCCTCTGGACTTGTGCTTCTCGCCCGCTCCGATCTCAGTGCGACAAAGGCTGCGTGTGAGGCCGCGGCGACGCGTCCGGGCCAGTCGCTCAAGGTCCTGACGGTCAACGTCGACGCGAGTGACACTGCCCAAGTGGACGCCGCCATAGCGAAGGTCAAGGAGACATTCGGACGGCTCGATATTGTGATCAACAACGCCGGTGCCTGCAACCCCGGCTCCCTCATCGCAGACTCGGACCCGAAGCTGTGGTGGCACACTTGGGATGTGAACATTCGCGGAACGTATGAAGTCACGCGGGCTGCGTTGCCGCTGCTCGTCGAGAGCAAGGGAAACAAGACGATCATCCTCGTCAGCAGCGCGGCTGCCCATGGGATCATTGAGACGCATAACTCTGCGTACGGGGTACGCTCCGGCTACTTTGTATGTCTGGGGCGAAGCTCATGTTGTGATCTTTGCAGATGTCGAAGCTTGCGCAGCTTCGCTTCGCGGAGCTCCTGACGAATGAATACGGAGACAAGGGTGTTGTTGCACTCGCAGTGCATCCCGGTGCAATCCCCACCGACATGAACGCAGATATATCGGACGATTTCAAGGCGTACCTCATCGACACGCCGGAAATTGCCTCGCACACCATCGTTTGGCTTGCACGGGAGCCTAGGGCTTGGTTATCTGGACGATACATCAGCTGTCAGTGGGATATGGAGGAGCTGGAGGCGAAGAGGCAAGAGATTGTCGACGGCGACAAGCTCAAGGTCAGAATGGCTATTTAGATGTCCAAACGATGTCGAGTAGTCTGATGTTGACTTACGTAAACGAGTGCATGTTAACGTTCGTATCTACTGATATCTTTTTAGCGAATTATCTTAGAGGTCCGGCTGGCTGAATGTGGGGCTCGTGCGTGCACGGCAGTGTTGGAGAGTGTGCCCACCGTCGGCAACTCCAGATAGGCCTGAGGACTGGAGTTGCGTGTCGTTGTGATTCCGTCTAGAGCTGATGGCGACGGCGACCAGCTCGCGCGCCCGCCAAGGATTACTTGGCGCATCGAATTCGCGTAGTGCAAGAGCCGGACTCTAATTCCCTGCGGATCTCGGCTGGTGGCCAGCCCAATCTGCATCTCTCCTCTCATCTCACGCCTCCCTTGCCGCGCACCAGCGACGTGCCGCAGGGCGGGATGCAGTGGCGTCGCCGGCGTGTGGGCTGGTCGTGTGCGCGATGCCGTCGTCGGACGACGCCATGGGCACTGCTGCGATAACAGATAATAACCGTTCTATCGCCGTCCGAGTCTATGTGAGATGGGCCCGCGGAGAGGGCGTCGGAGGGTGCGAGAGCTCGTGTGCATCGCCGAGCATCGTTTCTTCGACAGGAATCCTGCAGTGGGATCATGATGTCAGAGTGGGCACCAGCGCCCGTCGGGCCACGAGCGGGACCGTCTCGCTTGCCAAGCATGCGTGCGGGGACGCGAGCAGCGTCGAGTCGAGTGGGGCGGGCGGGGTGCACGGCTGGAGCAGGCGGCGAGAAGCGTTGGCCAAGCAAGTCGGGGAGGTCAGCAGTCCGCCGCCACCAGCTGTGGAGTTGGAAGAAGGGCGCGCAGAGGGGTCCGTGGCGGGCGGATCTCAAGTCTTATCGGGTTTCCCCACGGGTCATGGAAGACAGCGATGGCGGTGGCGATGGCGATGGCGACACACCTCAAACCTGCAGACGACGACGCGGCCGTTGGATCGCGCCGCCCTCCGACTGGCAGCGACAAGCGACGAGTCGGCTGGGGCGGACTGCCAAGTGCAAAACCGCCCGCGTGTGGCGGGGGGCATCCGA